AATATGCTGACTCTGTAAACCGCTTAGAGAGGGCTGAAAGCCCTATGAAGCGGTATATAAGTATAACTGCTATTGCTATTTTTGAGGTACAGGAGGTGGCGAGTGTGGTTCATGGCTGCTGCTGTGTTGCAATATTTTTTGGGGGGGCTTATTTTAGCGCATGCGCCCAAAAGCCCGATTGGGCTTATTATCTGGGGAGGTCTTATTTTGGGGAAAACAGGGTGTGATGAATGAATGAATGAATGAATGAATGAATGAATGAATGAATGAATGAATGAATGAATGAATGAAGCATTTATAAACATATACTAGTTTCTCACAGTTTTTCAATCCCTCCTTTGTCTTTTGACACTATGACATTAATATTGTATAGTATTTCCCTAGTGTTTATTTTGTTAGGAGAAACAGTCTTTTTCCAGGAACCCCACACAATTGCTCTGTTTTGTTTAGAAATACTCTTTTCTGTATCCTATCTGAATGGTCTATAGTAATCAGTTTGATCTCTCATAAAATATAACCTAAATTGCAAAGGCAAATATGAATTTGAGAAATGGATGTAGGATTAAACAAAAACTGCAAACACCTATTGAAAATAAATATTGGTTTCTACCCTTGCATTTCCTACCTACAGGTAACCCAGCTGACTAGTTACTTTGTTATCTCAGGTAGAAATACATATGGAAGAGAAAATGAACTTTCCTTCCTTCCTTCCTTCCTTCCTTCCTTCCTTCCTTCCTTCCTTCCTTCCTTCCTTTCATCCATCCCCTTTTGACATGTTATACGTAAGGTAGATCACAAAATAAATAAGTAAAATACTAGATATTCCCAGAAAAAATTAAAATATTTCAACATATTTGAAATAGTTCTAATGATTAACTTTAAAACAACAGTGAGTTGACACAGAGAATGTAATTCATCCAAGAAACGCAGACTGAAATTATGCAAAGTTACCCAGTTTTATCTTCATAAAAGTCCCATGTATTCAGTTGGATTTAAAGAGAACAGCTAAACTTCCACATGTATAATTGCTACAATTTTGTTAAATATAAACTGGCTGGGTTCACAAATCTCAGAAAGTCTAAACCAAATAAACCATGTTAAGGCTGATGTTTGAACCTGGCCAATGACAGTCAACTAATCATTGATTAGCCAAAGAATTCTGCAAACATTTGCTGAGCACAACTTGGAAATAATTGTTTCGAACACCACAACCCTCTGTCTTTTGATTGATGAATCAAATAAGCACCTGTCCCTTTAGCAGAATGAAAAGAAACATTTTCAGACAACATATGTATTCATTAAGCAAGCTAGAGATTCAGTATGACTGAATGATCAGGCAATGATCTGGGAGAGTTTAGTATTATCTGTTATATATAGTACATTTTTGTTTATGTGTTTTTGGTTTTTGTGTGTGTGTGTGTGTGTGTGTCAGTGTGCGTGCCTTGACATCATTCTTGCCTCCAGGCAGCTTCCTCAACAAATCTGTGATGTTTTCTTGGCAATAATTTCAGAACTTCATTTTACTTCTTTGTTGTTGAGAGAAGGTGACCGACCCAGGGTCACCAGGTTGAGTTCATTAAGATTTTATTAGGCAAGACTAGAACTTACCCTCTCCCAGCTTCTTGCCTAGTGCCTTAAACTACTATTCTAAACTATTTCTTTATGTAAAAATTAGCTGATGAATATTTTATACCAACAAGATAAACAAGGTCTGAGCAACAAGGTACGGGTATAAAGATGAGGTTAATAAAAATACAAAACAAAAACCTGTTCACCATATTGATCATTCCTATTATCTTCCTGGATACATTCCGGATTACTAGTTTCCTGCTATCACATCAGTCTGTTTTTTGCCTCCAAATTAACTAACAGGCTTTATGAGTAGAGAAGTAAAAAACAGCAGGGCTCTGAAGGCCCCCGAGGTATGGGCATGAACCATGAACACTTAGAGATAATCCACATATACCCACCATTGAAAAGAAACAATACAAAAGCTAAGAAGGAAACAAAAATACTCTCTTCAGTAGCTGACATGCAGATAAGCAGGAATTAACACCAGACAAAAATCAAGCAGACAAACATTCAAGTAGAAAACAATGCTCTGATCAAGGAAAAGATCACATCCCCATCAACAATGGCAGGGTAAGCTATTGTATATAACCAGGGAGCAAATCCCACACTCCAGTGACGTGCGGTGAGGTTTATACCTGGTGAGGCTCAGCTGGGCATCCTTTTGCGAAAGAGCTCAGCAGGCCTCGGGGGGGGGGGGGGGATTTGCATCGCGGGAGCAACCAAGTGCCCGGGTCTGCAGCAAAGGCGCTTGGTGGCTCCCGCGATGCAAATCCCCCCCCCCCCCCCCG